TGAGTAAGTTAAGTGCCAGAACTGTGAACTGAGGCCAAGTTCCCAGGCTTGACCTGTGTGATGTGTTTGTTGTTTAATGCAGAGTAGTAGCATAAGGAAGCATTAGGGTCAGATGGAAGATGATTTCACTCTGTCCCTGATACACAATATGATAAGAGAATAGTAACTACTATGCATGAGCACTGTGTGCCAGACACCTTACATGTATGAATTTATTTGATTTTCACAATAGCTCCATGGATTCAGTACAGCCTTTTCTTATCAGTGAGGCGACTGAAAAATAAAGTTTGGATAAGCTGCCCAGGCTCACATATTCTTGTAAGTGGAGGAGCTGGATTTTGAAACCAAGCAGTCTGCTTCTAGGACCTGAGATCTTGTCCATTGTACTGACTTGTCACCTCAAATCCAGCCTGCCTCTATTTACAGGCTTTCTAGGGGAGCAGAATGGTATTGTGAAGGAGAAATGCAGATGAAAAGAGTGTGTTCCTGTCACTACTTACTCTTCTCTCCTCTTCCCTCTGTCCTAATACTCTTTGTCTAGGTGCACACAGCCTTCCAAATCCTCAAAGATGCCAGATGGCATTATATTATAAATATCATAGTGAACATGTAGCAGATATCTATAGAATTAGTGAAACAATATCTGGACAGGCATTGTTATTTACATTTCATAGAGACAAACCAAGATCAGAGAAATTTAATAACTGTTTATGGTTACAAGTCCATATAGTTACAAGTCTCTCTCTTTACTTCAATCCCCAAGTGTTCCTATCTCATTATATAGCTTTCCACATATAGTCATCCCTTAGTATTTGTGAAGACTTGGTTCCAGGACTACCACAGATACCAAAAAAATTTATAGATACTCAAATCTCTTATATAACACTGTAGTATTTGCAAATAACCTATTTGTATCCTCCCATATGACTTCAATCACCTCTAGATCACTTACACAATTGGATACATTATTGCACTATGTAAATTGTTGTTATAATGTAAAAGTGGTTTGGGAATAATTAGAAGAAAATGTTTAGTGAAGATGAATTAAAAAATGTTTTGGTCTGCAGTTGATTAAATCTGTTGATACCTGTGGATATGGAAGGCTGATTGGAATTCCTTTTCAAGATCTTCCTCTCACCAAAGCTTTTTCTTTCCTCTCAATTTTTTCTTTCCTTTCCTTTTTTTTTTTTGATTCCTGCATGATAAAACTTTGACCATCAGTTTGCCGTATTATCTTTGCTTGGAATCAGGAAGAAAGTCAACTGAATGAACAAAATCCCTATTGACAGAGGAATGCCCAACATCAACAATAACACTAGTAGCTACAGCTTAGTGCTTATTATATGCCATTAATTCTCACAGTGTTCCCATGGGGAAGGTATTTTTAGTCCCTATTTTATAGCTGAAGAAACAAAGTTGATCTTAGAATTAACACATGTTCTACCAGACTGTGCTCCTCTTGATTCATATCATCCCAGGGTATTTATAGTTTAAAAGATCATCATGTTTACCCCAAACCCCTTGAGTAGAACTGACTGTTAAAATAGGCAAGAGAACAAATATCCCAACCACATGGGAAGCTTTTCCAATTAGATTAGATCAGAGGTTCTTTTTTGAGGGGGGTGTACCAGTGATTAAACCCAACAGCACTTAACCAGTGAAGTGAGCCACATTCCTGACATCTCCAGCCTGTACCCACCCCCCTTTTTTTGAGGCAGGGTCTTTCTCAGTAACTGAGGCTGGTCTCAAAATTGAGATCCTCCTGCCTCAGCCTTCCAAGTTGCTGGGATTACCGGAATGAGGCACCACACTAGCAGATCAGAGGTTGTTAATTCTTGCTATACATTAGAATATTCTGAGGACCCTTACCTCCCCATCTCTCACCTCCCCTCCCCTCCATCTCAGCAGAGAAATTTGAGAGATACAAAGCTGAAAGTTTCACGAATAAAAAACCAGGCGTTGTGTGGTTGCCCTCCCTCTCTCACTCCCCCGCAACTCCCTCCTTCTCCAGTGGATTATAGAGTTTGGTTCTCTAATTCTCAACTTAAAAACATTTTATTTGTTTAAATTCTACCTGTTTACAAAAAGCATTTGGTGCTGCATAGAGCAATAATATACAGAATTAATTAATTATTAAAAGAAAAGTTCTTGGAAAAAAAGCTGAAGCAATTTGATAACTATTAGAATTTTGTGAATAAGAAACTCACTGTGGGCTTTCCTGAAGTCAGGGCAAGAGAAACATTTACATCGTTGTAAATAGCAGAAAGGAGGAAGTGGGCAGCAATTACTGAGGGGTGACAAAGAAGCTTCTGCTGTGAGTCCTCATAGGGGACCGTTGCACATCATGATAGCAGCATCCTTGACGACAGTTTCACAACAAATACTGAAGTAGTTTCAATATTGCTATCCCTGGAGGGTGAAGACCTAACGTTAAAGCAAAACTTAGTGCAGCAGATCTTCTAAGATGATGCTGAACTTGATCTTATCTTTGTAACATAACCACTTCTTCCTTTCCCCTCCTCCTCCCCCTTCCTTCCTTTCCCCTCCACTTCCCCCTTCCTTCCTTTCCCCATTCTCCCTCCTCCCTCCTCCTCCTCCTTCATTTTTTCTTTGCTCTTCTTCGGAGTCTTCTTTAACATTATAATGTGGATGGATGAGTTTTGTTTTAAACTATTACATCAATTTTCTTTTCTCTAGTTAACTAGATTAAGACTCCTAGACCACTGCAGTGTAGTCCACCTTTCCAAAAGTCTCTGAAGACCATATTCAGCAAGTTCTACCCTCTCAAGAGTCTTATGCTGGTCCTTACAATCTTGAGCTGATCTGAACTGAATGAAGAAGGCTATTTTCACCACGTACATTCTGTTTGTGTAAACTTGTATTTCAGTTGTCTTTTTCATTTCCCTTTTGGCAGCAAACATCAATGCTTGAGGACACACTGCCACTTATTTCTGGGAAGCACCAAATATTTGGTATTTATCTGCATTTAGACAAAATCAGTTTCGAGTTGTTTCCATATATACCAAACATAAATATTTAGATAAAACAAGCTTATCCATTATGCAGTTTACTCTATTACCTGTGGAATCACTAATTTTTTTTCAGTGGTTGATTGAAAAATTTATTAAGCATGGACTTTACAAAAAACATTATAATAAGTAATGTGTGGAGAGCAGAAAAATACATCATAAATAAAAGACATGGGGATGGAACATTGTAAACTTTTTTTCTAGCTGAGAAGTGAAAACATTAAATTAATTTTAATTAATGCAATTAGTTAAATTATTTTAAAGTACAATGTTTTAAAGAGGTCATTTGTGTGTCTGACTCCAGTCATTCTTTTTTCCCATATTTTTTATTGGTGCGTTATAATTGTACATAATGGTGGGATTTATTGTTACACACTCATACATGCATGCAATATAGCAATATAATTTGGCCAGTATCATTCCCCAGTGTTTCCCGTATCCCTTCCCTTCTCCCTCCACTGGTTCCTTTATTCAAAGGATCTCCCTTTGATTTTTACCCTGCCTCTCTAACTTCCACATATGAGAGAAAACACATGACCCTGACCTCTAAGTTTGGCTTATTTTACTCAACATAATGGTCTCAAGTTCCATTCATTTTCCTACAAATGACATAATTTCATTTTTCTTTATGACTGAATAGAACTCTATTGTGTATAAATACCACATTTTCTTCATACATTCATCTGTTGATGGATACCATGGCTAGTTCTATAATTTTGCTATTGTGGATTGTGTTGCTGTAAACATGGGTTTGCATGTATTGCTATAGTGTGGTGATTTTAATTCTTTAGGATAAATACTGAGGAGTGATAAAGCTGGGTTATATAGTAGTTCCATTCCTTGACTCCAGTCATTCTTTGATGATAAAATAATTTTGTTTTATATTAATCTCCCTCTGTATCATCCTCAGTAAAGTGAAAACTATTCATATTATATTTAATGAGATGAAATTGGGTTTACCAATTCAAGAATTTAAAAGGAATTCTTTTTTTCTTGCTTCTATTGGAAAACTAAAATTCTTAGAATGGTATCGTAAGTGCTCTTCTGATCTTTTGAATTTAAACTTGAAAAAGAAGTTTTAAATTTATTTTGGATAGTTTTTACATCATCATTTATTTATCTCTTCTTGTGGTTTTATCTGTTTTTAAAGGAGTTTAAAATTTATATTTGAAAAACCCCCAAATTGGGTTTTCTTTTACTCATGTATATGAGATAGTTCTTAATAATATTGTAGTCATACTTGTTTTGACATACTCCATTGAGACAGTGAATTAGTCATGATAAAAAGGTTATTCTTTGTTTTTTCATCTTTTTCATTCATATTGCCTCTCCCAAGAATCCATTACCTTCCCATTCATTCATTCATTCATTCAACAAGTATATATTACATACTTATTGTATCCAAGAGAATGTGTTGGTATCTGAATGTGCAAAAAGATGCCAGAAAAGCTAATAAATTATGAGACTTAAGACTGGGACATTGAAGTAGAAAAATGTTAATTTCCATATGTAAGGGCTAAGTAATGTGCTTTAGGAATTTTCAGATAATAAAGAGGTTTCCCCACTTTCAGGGAAGTGGAGTGAGTGTTTCAGAAATATTTTTTTCCACTGAAGTTGAACTATTTAATCCTTGTATTTTTGTGGGTAATAGAAAGCATGTTTTACTCCTTAGCATTTAATAAAACAAACATGATTGAAGATATCTGTTCTTAGCTCAAAATGCCCAAGATATACTTAGATATTTTCAGGATATTTTTAGTACTTTAACTTTTCATGGTTAAAAAATGAAAATTATTAAGTACTTACTGAAATGACAGCATGAAATGCTCTCTGTTTGCAAAGCCCATGTCCATTCCTCTACTTCTTACTGTAGAAGCCTAGTTGCAATACTTTCATCTTATTTAAGAAATATTTATTGTGGTGTTTGCTCATTTTTGCATTGTTTAATATTATAATACATTTTTTTTCCAGAGACAAAATCAATAAAGGTTTGGAAGATTTAAAAAGTGTTAGTCCAGTGGGAGAGACATACATCCATGAAGGACTAAAGCTAGTAAGTCACTTCACACTTGAAAGTATGGAAGAGAATGCTTTCTTATTCTGTAATGAAATACAATTATCTAGCAAGGCTCAAAAAACTGTTACATACTTATCTTTAAAATGCTTTTAGTTATTCTAGAGATGAGTCTGGTAGAAAGCATTATTTACTGTAGTGATAAGAAAAGTTTGTATGCATTTTGTCTATTAAGGAATTTTCCATTTTCTTTTGTGATCATAATTCAGATTATTCACCTATAACTAAAAACCTTTGTCATTTAAACCCAATACTAACTACTCTTTAATGTGAATATGTATATATTTCAAATAAAATAGTTACAATATCTTCCTTTATGCGCTAGTCAGTAATATTTTTACTTTGTCAGACTTACAAATTTAGCTTGATGGAACATGCTGGTTAAAAGTTAAAATTAAAATGTGAGTTGGATAATTATTCTTCATTTTCAGGCGAATGAACAAATTCAGAAAGCAGGAGGCTCAAAAACCTCCAGTATCATAATTGCTCTGACAGATGGTAAGTTGGACGGTCTGGTGCCATCATATGCGGAGAAAGAGGTGAGTATTGAACTGAAACTGTTCTTTACACTCCACTGCTGTGCCTGGCTGTGTGTTTCTGCATGTGTAGATGGATATTGAGTAACTCTGTATCTCTCTGTCTCTGTCTCTCCCCCTCCCTCTTTCCCCTCCTCTCTACTCCTCCTTTTTTTTCCTCTTTAGGCAAAGATATCCAGGTCACTTGGTGCTAATGTTTATTGCGTTGGTGTCCTTGATTTTGAACAAGCTCAGGTGAGTTAAGACAGTTCTGCAAAATTTAAATCCCATAATGTCTTAAGGATAGGGGAACAAATTCTTTTCACTAATGACTTCTTACAAAGGTTTTTTATAAAATGGTTTATGTCTTGAGTGCTGCCTTCATAATGTCAGAATTTTGATAGGTTTTGTTACTTAAAACAAAACTCTAAATAAATAAGTATTTGAACATTTATTTGGTTGGAGGAAATAATACAAGACAAACATTTGTACTAAAATTATGTGAATATCCCGTCAATTAAAACGACAAGATTATTAGTCTTATTTATAATTATTATTTTGATTTAAATTTTGACTCTTAGGGGTGCAGGAATTTGGAAAGTCCATTTGAAAATCTTTAATAATTTTTATTAAAAAATAATTTTTTCCCATGGAGTTTTTTTTTGAGGGTTTAGGTACCACATTTTTTTTTTCCTCACAAAATCATTTTACGTTCAAATTTTTGCTTGAGTATAGCTTAGATTGCCGAATCTTCTGCCATTAACAGCTGTTAGAACTCTGTGTTGTTGTAAAATTGCAACTTGAGGCTGTGTCATGGGGCTAAGACTGACCTCAGTTAATCCATGGTGATATATTTGGAGGAACACAAATCTTATCACCTTCAGTTTACAGGCCACACTGGTGAATGAATCCGGCAGAGTAACTTTTCAGACTAAAACTTAAATTTACATGTAAGTTTAACATAAGTTTATAAAGAATTATCTGTCTCAACCATCTCTTAAGTAAGCTTTTCTCTTTTTTTCTAAAGCTCGAAAGAATTGCCGACTCCAAGGAACAAGTTTTCCCTGTCAAAGGTGGATTTCAGGCTCTTAAAGGAATCATCAATTCTGTGAGTCTATCTCTGGAGGGAGATGGGCAGGAAGGGACTGATCATTGTACATACATTTTAAACTAATAGAAATAATCTTAGTGTCTAGTGCAGGTGGCCATTATGGAGAAGAAAGAGCATAAGAAAGAGATTTGCTTGCTCTTCCACAGTGTAATTCTAAAAATCTGGATTTGTTTGCAAGTGAGATTTGACACTAATTCTTGCACGGTTGGGCTCTGAGAACCCCAGCCTGTGATCTCTGTTTTAGATACTTCTACCATTTTTAAGCATGGAGTTGCTATCTCGAGGTTTCTTTCTTTCTCTCTTTTACATAGACTTTATAGGACAAATGTAAAATGAAAAATTTGGATTGGAATGTGTGATTACTTTGCCTTCCAACTATGGCATTTCTTAGCTGTACGTCAGGCATCTTGAACCAGCGGCTGAGTATTTGACTGCAGTTGTTCTTTCCATTTAAATGATGAATCGTCTCCCTAGAGCACATAATATTTCTGTTTGGGATTCAGTTGAGCTGCTCTGGTGGTGGTTAGGATCCGTGCTCTCCTCGACATCGTATGGGAAGAGAGTGATGAAATGCACCACGAAGCTCCTGGGTTTTCACAGCTGAGGTTTATGTTTCCTTTTACTGCCTTTTGCTAGAAGCACTAGGGATAGTTGCTATTAAGTATTTATGATATTTTGGTAAACACCATCCTAAAATGGAAGTGAATAATATATATTCTCTAAGCAAAAGCTTTTCCTTTAATCTTTAGGCATTTGTAAAAGGAAAAAAAAAGTGTCTAACATTTGGTTCTGGCATTTAAATTTCTCTTCAAAGATCATGTTTTTTTAGAAACACAGAGGTTTATTGGTTTTTGTTTTAGTAGCATGTATTTTTTTTTTTTAAATAAATGGACCTTTTTGGAGGAAACAGAATTTGGTTCAAGCTCATGTCAGTGGACAAACCAAATGTAAATGCAGAATGGAACAGAGATATAATTAGTTTAGGAGTTTATTTATATAATATTATGTTTGGTTTGTAGAAAAAATTAGTAAATAATTTCATAGTTGGATTCAGGGTAAATATCAACAGAAGCAATATAAATGCAGAAAAAGAGATAATGCAAAAAGGGAGGATAATTTGACCCCCTCAACAAAAAGGTCAGTGGGTTGTATGTTTAATAGGATTTTATTGTACTTGAGGATTAGCAGTTATTTTTATAATTATACTGGGAAAGAAAAAAGATTTCTCTGGGTTATTCCCTTTGAAATCTTTTTTTCTCTACATAAAAGGTTTAATTTAGAATTCTCCAGATGACTGACTAGCTTTTCCAAACCCTACTTTTATGGGTTGTAACTATAGATTTTTCCCTTTAAGAAATTAATAGTTGACTACCAGAGGAAATAATTTTTTTTTTTTTTTGTCTGTTTGTGCTGGGCAAGGAGGTGCAAGCCTGTAATCCCAGCAGCTCTGGAGGCCAAGGCAGGAGGATTGTGAGTTCAAAGGCATCCTCAACAATTTAGGGAGGCCCTAAGCAAGTTAGCTAGATCCCATCCCAAAATAAAAATAACAAAGCCTGGGGATGTGGCTCAGTGACTGATTAAGCACTCCTGTGTTCAATCCCCAGTACCAAAAAACAAAGAAATAAATAATAAAAAATAAAAATAAACAAAATGTTTATTTGTTAAATTGTGTTTTTCTGTTTGTATTGAGGAAACTTCAGAAGGTAATTTCTAAGTATAATACAGTCCTGCTGGATTGAAGTTCTTGATAGACATTAGCTTGAATAAGTTGTGCTAAAATAATTAGCAGGAAACTAGAAAGATTTGCATTACTCTAGGTACACTGCCAACAAAGTTTCATGTTAACATAGTTAAACACTAGCTATTTTGTCCCCCAAAGAGGAATACCTTGTCCATAGGACAGCCTGCCTCTGGGGAAATCGCTGGCAATACCTGGCAAAGGTGGCAGGTGGAAAAAGGAGTCATTATAACTTTTATAATCAACCTAGATCTCAGCAATGGTTGATATATATTTTTTTAATTAGTGTTGTGAAACCTTGGGATTTTCATCCACTATGTAGAAATTTGAAGCAATTCAAATACTTCATCTCTTTTCAAGGGAAGAGATTGGTTCACCTTTAATAATATAAAAAAGTGGAATTCTGCCTAAATTTGAATTATATTTTATACTCACATATTATTTAAAAATATTTATTTGATATTTAGAATAACATAGCACATTTATCACAGGATAAGGACAAAGAAAAGAAGATATCCCTTTATTCTTTCTGACTTACCAAGATAATAGATGAAATTGTACTATGAAATATATTTACATAAAGTTAAACAAATGGAAAAAAATCATAAAACTTAGGTTTTTCAGATGTCACTATGAAGGCCGAATATTAGCTAAATTCATGGATAAAATCTTTTTCCTGCTGGATATTATTTAAATACATCTGATCTCCTTTACTGTCAGAATGTTAACTTACTTGAAGTTGATCTTTGAAAAAAACTCATACAAGTTTTCTTTGTTTTTTGTTCTGATCCCCCCAAATCCAGTGACTTGTATGGACTTGTGCCCTTAAAGACCAAGACGTCATATATTGTTAAGATATTGTGTGTCAAGAATTATTTTTTAATCAGCAAAGACAGTAGTTTCAGTTTTGAAGACTTTCTTCAATGCAGTTAAAAGGAATAAACACTGTAGTAGTTCTTTCACAACTTAAAAATCAAGAGACTGAAAAAGACCTTTGTTATGAATATGCTGCATATTAACAATTTAATATCTTTTTTAAAATTTATTTGATTCAGAAAATCATTTAAGCATTCTATTTTAATTTTTTAGAAAGTGTACTGTTTCAACATTTTTAGATTGCTCTTCAGGCAGACATGATATGTAACATTCTTTGGAATATTGGTATAATTTATTTTTATAACTAGCTCTATGAAGGTTTATAATTCATTACCATCTCAAGTAGATACTATTCAGAATATATCTTTTATTTCTCCCTTCTTTGCTCAACTTAGTTTTTCATTGAACTCATTTAATAAATTAATAAATTAATAAACCCTCCTCTTTCTTAAGGCACTGTGTTAGGCATGGGAGGAGGAACACATACTTAAATAAGTCAAACTCTATACTGCACCAGGGTTTAAAATAGTGATGATGAGATGTTTGGAATATCCCCTGCAAAATTTATTAGGTAATATGGGGATTTAGAGGAGGGAAATTTGAGTGAGTCACCCCATGGGATAAAAAACCATCTTAGAATGGAATTGTGTTAAATGTCAATGTGGCATGTAAATTGACGTAAAGAGGATTGGTTTGGTTACATAAAGTTATAGAAACCTTTTCATGGGATTTGAACTGGACTCTACTAATTGGAGTAGATATAATTTTAAAAAAGGAACTTCAAGAACAACCTGTGCTGAGGGGTTTGAAGGATACATGTCGACAGGTAGTCTGGACTCAGATTACAGAGACCTTCACATCCTTGAATGGGGAATTAGCACTCATTTTAAAAATAATCAGGAAAACATGGAAGACAAGAGCCTGGGATTTATATGATGTCTATGAGGATTTAGGAAGAATATTCTTATAATAATGTATGGGATGGTTTGCATCCTATAGTTATAAATCTCTTGCATTTGTCCTTATAAAACCCAGAAAAAGATAATAACCTCATGTGCAGATAATATGAGGTTGGAAATAGGAAGCTCTGGGTATGAATCTCTGTCACTGCACAGCCCTGTGACATGGAATAGGTCCTACAATGTACTTCCTGAGTTCTAAAATTCTCAGCAAATGGGAATAATGAGTTCTATTTCACTGATTATTTTAATTAAATGAAATAATGATTAAGAATGATCTAGATCAGAAGAGCTGGACTTTAAAATATTTGGTAGGAAGCTAAGAATGGCAGGAAGCCAGGATCTTGTAACCTGGGGCTATTGGTCCTTCTGTAGGACAATCCACTGGGAGAGATGGCCAGCAATCTATCTGATCAATGTCATGGGTATAAAAGGATATGATGGTAGAATGTAAGAGGCTCAGTTTCAGAGGGTGGGTCATAACAAGGTTTTCTAGATGGTGTAGGTACCCAGTGTCCTTAGGCTATGGGATCAGAACCCCATCAATCAGGGGAACATGATTCAGTATTCCTATAACAAAGTTATGTATAATTGTAGGACCCCATATTCAAAAAAGGAGCCACAGTTCATGGGGGAGGCAGTGTGTGCTAGTTAGAATTCAGTGTAGAAACCCTGTTGTTAAAGGGGAAACAGTATTCCCAGTAAATTATAGTTCCTGAGAGCTTATCCTAGGCACTGGGATTCCAGGTCTTTCAAAAAGGAAACTAGGTCAAAGAGCTAATTATGGAAATACTTAATAAACTCTCTGCCCATATCAAAAATATGTCAGGAACAGGGTGGGGCTGAACCTGCATGTATAAAAAATCTCTGTCTCATGCTGAACCAGGCTCAGGCATATGGCAAATATTAGCTGACACTTATTAGTTTTTGTTAATGATTATTATGATGGCAGTGACACTGAAAATAAAACAATAAATTTGGGGAAGCATTAAAAATTAAAACCTGAGAGTGCACTGGATTATAGGATTAAAGAGACAGAGCAGGGAGTCAAATGTAAGAGGCATTGTGTGCCTGTGAATAACTAGAGTGAAAGCTATTTTTACAGAGGGGGCAGGGATGTCACTGGCAAAATGAAAGAGGTCAGTGGGCAGAGAGAGAAGTCAAATTGAGCTTGAGAAAAAAAATCCCAGTGGGGGATGTAGGTAATTGGAGAACCAGTGAACTATCAAGGTTAGAAGTCATTGCGCCATCTCTTGTCCTTTCTCCCCTCCCTTTGCCCACAAACACAAACACAGAATTTTCTGTTTTTCTCTTCAGAATTATCTTTAAAATCTTAGAATGTTTTTTTAAAGTCCTTTTGATTTCTTGGGAAGATAATTGCAGGACTTACATTTTAAATATATAATATATAAATATAGAATAAA